CACCCACCCACCCGCCTCCCCTCTCTCTCTGTTCCCTTGCCCACTTGTGAGTCCTCCCCCTGCCCAGGCTCCCAGCAGCCTCCTCTGCCTGCCACCATTTCCCTGGTGTACACAGTTGGGATTGGGAGGTGGAATACTGGCAAGTAAGTAGGCAGAGGGGTCGACAGCAGAGTGCTCCACCAGAAGCCCTGGGCCCAGCAACCGCCCCATCTCAGAGTACATCGATGCAAGCCCTGATCATGGACAAATAGTCCGTGTGGGACCATTTCAGATGAGGAAAATAGTGCAGGAGGGAAGGCTGAAAACCCTTCTCTACATGTGCCATGGTCCTGGCCTAAATTGGGCACCATGCACACAGGAATGGAGGATAACCTGTAACTCATGTCTGACTTCTGCATGGGGTGAGGACCTCAGACCCAACCTCTGTAATGTGTGAATCGTTGACATTTTAAAGAGATTCCTAGATGATACCTTACTTTTAAAAAAATGATGCATTTTTTTCTGATGTACAAGTCTCCAGGCCCACAACACGCCTTTCTCCCTCACATGGTCCTGTGCAAGAAGAGGTGTTTTGAACCCACCATATCTGCACCAATCCTCTGTCTTGCATTGACTCCAGTCTTTTTGGATTTCTGGTCCTTTTATTTCAATAGAAACTCTTCTCATCTGTTGGACTCCAAAGAGCTTTGCCCGTGTAGAAATAAATGGGTTGCTAAAACCTAATGATCACAGAGTTACATGATCTCACCCATGAACCTTTTTATTATGCCATGTTATATAATTACCAGCTTAAAAATGAATATGTGGCTATTAGTGTGTCACTGTCAATGCTTCCACACAAGCAGAGCCCTCCAGCAGAGAGCGCGAAGAGGATCAGCTCATGGATAAAGAACAACTCCCCCCACCCCACCCCGCTTTTCCGGAGAAGGAAACTCCCAGGCACTGTGATTTTAAAAGCCCACTCTACTGGTGGATTTCCCTTGACACTGTAAACGCTTCACTTATTACTAAGATGATCCACTAACTTGAACTCCCCGTTCTCTTTTCACAGACAAATGATTTGATTTGATTTTTAAATCCTTAACAGGAATAAAGGAAGCTGCCCTTCTTGATAGACTGTTATATTATCATGACTGAGTTGGCCTGTCTTGATTACTGGGAATAAGCCCATCACCTGGTAACCAGTGGGTTATCAGGGGTTGAATAAAAAACATGTTCCTTGATGGGTCAAAATCTCTCTCTCTCCCCTTTTGGGAAGTGACACCCAGCAGAGTATGGAGGAGTAATAGTGAGGCAGTCTGCATTTTCAGTTGGAATACGACAAACACAGAGAGCTGAGTGTGTCCTACTGGAGCTGGTTAAACCTGCTACACCCTGAAATATACCCATTTCTGTTTCACTTTTCTCTTGTGTGACTCAAACCCATGATGCTTTCTTGTATTCTGTTTTGGCATTCTGTTTAGATGTTCATGCCCTCCTTTTTCCCCAGCTGGGACTTACAGCATCATTCTCCCTTCCTCCGTCTTATCCTCTCAACAACCTCCCTGTGAGGTATGTTAGGCTGGGAGGGAGTGCATGGTGTAAGGTCACCTAGCAAGCTTCCATAGTAGAGAAAGGAATCAAACCAGAGACTCCTAGATTCTTGTCCAACGCTGTGACCACGCTGGCTTATTTTCATGCCCAGTTCCATTTCCTTACACCTCATTTCAGTTGAGCTTAAATATAGCACATACATATAAGTAATGTTCATGCTACATAACACATTAGAACACATTAGAACAATAGTAAAGGTAAAGGTTCCCTTGCTCGAAAGCCAGTCGAATCCGACTCTAGGGTTGCGGTGCTCATCTCCATTTCAAAGCCGAAGAACCAGCGCTGTCCGAAGACATTTCCGTGGTCATGTGGTCGGCATGACTAAACACCAAGGCACACGGAATGCTGTTACCTTCCCACCGAAGTGGTACCTATTTATCTACTTGCAATTTCTTGCTTTCGAACTGCTAGGTTGGCAGGAGCTGGAACTAGAGACAGGAGCTCACCCTGTCTTGCGACACCCGGGTCTTGAACTGCTGAACTACTGACCTTCCACAGCCTGCAGTTCAGCGTCTTAACCACTTCATTGTACATAAAACACATTAGAACCATAAGGACCCGGAAGCCTCAACTTAGGGTTGCCAGTCCCCACGTGGGGCCTGGAGATCTCCTGCTTTTACAACTGCTCTCCAGCTGACAGAGATCAGCTCCCCTAGAGAAAATGGTTGCTGTGAAGGGTGAACTCTATGGCATTATACCATGCTGAGCCCCCTCTCCTCTCCAAGCCCCACCCTCTCCTGGATCCACCCCAAAAGTCTCCAGGTATTTTCCAACCCAGGCCTTGCAACCCTGCCTGAACTGGAGCTTGATCTGTGCAACCTGCATGGTTAATATAAATCTACCTGCAAAACCAAGAACAAACAATAATAATAAAAAACAACAACTGGAACTATTTACAAAAATATAAATAACTGCCAACTTTCCGAAAACTGCAGTATTTATAGGGAGCAGATGCTCTTTAGAGTTCAAATTCCAGATTAGTTATTGTGTTGCTTCTTTGGGGAACTGCTGTCTTCCAGTAGGTTCTGCTTATGTAAATGGACAGGTATTATAAACGTAGCATAAACTTCCAGGGTTTTTCTTTTATCCAACGGAAACCACAACCCGTGGAATTGACTCTGGACTTCTCACTGTCAAAAAAGTAGGGAGCATGTAAAAATGGTCCTTTTTATCTATTTTTATCATGATGGAATCATTATGAACTGAATTAGCTTATTACAAGTTGGGGAACCATGGAGAGAGGGGAAGAATCTCATTAAACCATTAATCTGATTTTTAAAAAAACAGAATGTTCTTCACCAATTCCTTGGTGTCTGTGGAAACAGCGGATAAAGGGAAGATATTACCCCCGCCGTGGGCTTGTACTTCTGCAACCCCAAGAATTTAGGAGCCTGGCTGAAATACAGCTATGCATTACAACATAAAAGTAACAAAAGAAGAGAAGTCCCTTTCAGATGCTCTTTTTTATTGCTGAATTTTAAAACCCTTACAAATAAGATTTGGGTCATGCAAATGGTAATTTTGAAAGGATATCCATTATCTTTTGTTTGTTTGTTTTGTTTCTATCATGCAGCACGGTGACATGCTGTCCTCAGGAGCCCTGAATCTCAGGGCAGCAGAAGTATGTACCTATGGATTTTAAAGGAGAATCTTTCCTAGAATTTGCCTTTTGAGGGGACACAAGGGGTGGGGGGAATAGGGGGAAATAAAGCCAGCAAAAGTGTGAATCCCAGCTCACTGGATCTCTCATAAATTGGGTTTCAATCTGAAGAACAGAGTAATGTCGTTTCCCTTTCACAGTCATCCCTGATTGACAGGTCTGGATTCACTCTGAGATGGTAGTGCATGATAATGAAGAAATGGCTGTTTGGGGAGCACTGTTACTTCTCCCGGAAGATGGAAGGGACCTTTGTTTGTTTACTGTATTTATTTAGTATCTTTATACCCTACTTTCTCGCCAAGGTTAGCTTCTAAAGTGGCTTCCCAAAATTAAAACCCAACATTCAGAAAACAACAACAGATGTTAGGAATTGGAGGGTGTTTGTACAGTCTCTTTGGGTACTTGGCAGTTGAAGATATGCTCCAAGCTCCAGGATTTTGTCTCCAGATGGAAAAAGCAGAAGGCGCTGCAGGTGGACTCAGGGGCTGGTTGCTGGTAAAGATGCCAACACGCGCACCACATTCCAATGATTTGCACATTCTCACACTCTTCTGTTCCCTGGCAGCTGATGACACAGTTAAGATTCCACCCTCCAGAGGGGAAGACACAGGAGGAACAGCAGGTGGTCCCAGGAGCTGGCTGCTGGTGAAGAATCCACAGGATCAGTCCTCCTGTCAAACTGCTTTTCCTTCCTAAAGCAGTCCTGTCACATGCTATTTTGCTTCGGGAACCTACAGAAAAGCAAAGAAGAGCAGATAATGGCTGGTGCTGGAATTGCCAAAGACGAGGCAGCCAGCAAGGAGTCCAGTAAGGCTGGATGTGAAATGCATTTCTGGTTGAGCAAAAACCCACTGAGAGCCTGGCCTCACTGAGATGTGTAAAATGGCCAGACGAGGACTGAGCATGCTCAAGGACACAGATAAGAACATAAACATAGCCATGCTGGATTGGAGCAGTGGTCCAACATAGGATGTTGAGGGTGGTTAAGAGTTGGTTAAAAAATGAAGGGATGTGGGGAATGATACCTGCTGAAGACTGGCATTTTGTAGAATTAGCGAGAGGGCTTCTAATGTTGAGTGGGAGCACTGTGGCTCAGTGGTAAGCACCTGGCTGAAATGCAGAAGGTCCCAGGTTCAATCTCTAGCGTCTCCAGTAGAACGTTTAGATAGTAGATGATGTGAAAGACCTCTGACTGATACTGTGGAGAATTACTACCATTCTTAGTAGATAATATTGAAGGCAGTTTCACATGTGCATGTGAAATTTCTAATTTGTTTATCCCCCACATGCAGAATTCCTCATGGGTTCCTTGCTTACATTGATTTAATTTCACCTCTGTGATTTGTGTTCTCTTTCTTTTCTTCCAGCAATTATTAAAACTGCTCTTTCAAACATGGACCGAGAAGCCAAAGAGGAGTACTTTGTTGTCATCCAAGCAAAAGATATGGGCGGGCATATGGGTGGCCTCTCTGGGACCACGACCGTGACGATTACTCTCACTGATGTCAATGACAATCCTCCAAAGTTTGCGCAGAGTAAGTGCCATTTTTGTATCCCCTGCAGAATGCACATTGCACTGCATTTAAGATCCTTGTTGAGTTTATTTTTTTCCACAGAGACAATGTGTGCTGCTTTCAGAAGGTGCAAAATGGTTTCATATTTCATTATACCAAAATCATGTTTGTAATACTATGGTTTTGACATCCTACTTGTTACACAATGGCCTTTTTTAAATTTGTACAGACATGTGAAGTTCCTAGTTCTTATACCATACCACCTGTTCTTCTGGTCTATACTTGTATTCCCTTATGTTCTCCTGACACTTCCACAACTTTTCATGGGTTATCAGCTGTCATTATTCCTTTCTCCAGTGATCCACCCATACTTTCCTTCATATTCCTCCTTGTTTCTGAAGTCATTTGCCCTTCTCTGGCCCCTGCCACACGGCAGGGAAACCACGAGGCAAAAGCACGGCTAATAGAGCCGCTCCAACGTTGAGACGCTGCGGCGGGATCCCACGGATCCCCTGGCCGCAGCGCCTCTTCTCCCCGGCAAGAGCAGACGCCGGGGAGGACGAGCCCGATGGGAGGGGGAGGCTGCCAAACTGCGCATGCCCGAGCATGCGCAGTACGGCCGGGGGCTGGGATGCGGCGGCGCAAGGACGTGCCGCCGATCCCACGGCCGGCTTGGGGCGCTCCAGATGGCTGCAACCACCTAGGCCCCGTTCATACGAGCCCATTTGGGACGGGAGCGGGACGGAACAGGGGCGGAGCAAACGGACGCGTGCGCCGGCGCATCCCAACCCCCGGGCGTACTGCGCATGCTTGGGCATGCGCAGTTCGGCAGCCTCCCCCTCCCATCGGGCTCGTCCTCCCCGGCGTCTGCTCTTGCCGGGGAGAAGAGGCGCTGCGGCCAGGGGATCCGTGGGATCCTGCCGCAGCGTCTCAACGTTGGAGCGGCTCTATTAGCTGCGCTTTTGCCTCGTGGTTTCCCTGCCGTGTGGCAGGGGCCCTAGATAGGTGGTTCGTTTTTGCAGCGGGGTAGCGCCATTTGGGCCGGATCAGGGACGGAGACGGCACGCTCCCCAGATGTTGAGGTGGGATCGCGTCCGTTTGCTCCACCCCTGTTCCGTCCCGCTCCCGTCCCAACTGGGCTCGTATGAACGGGGCCTCTGTCCATCAAAGTTTGCCTCTACTCCAGATTTACTTACAACCCACCACTTGAAATGCATTCAGTTGTGTATCAACAAGAGCAAGTTCAGATCAATGATGACTGAACAGGACAGTATGAATAGAGAAATTCTATTACCTTCATGCTGTTCTTGTTGGCTTCCCTAATAAATCTGGTTGACCAGAATACTGGAGTAGATGGACCTTAGATCTGATCCAGCAAGTATGTGCAAGGTTGCTGTAAACTCTTCCACACTGAGTGTCATTCTGGACACAGTAGCATGGAGGAAATAAAGATCTGGTATAGTCAGACTGCTAGTTGCCAGCAATGATTTGCATAAGTAGGTAAGTCAGCAGGTCCTTCCATGCTTACATTAGCCACCACCAGGAACTAGTAATTCTCAGCATGAATGCACTGAACTTTCTCTAGGGTACTGTATGCTCACATGGACCCTATCACCACAAAATCAACAATGTTGTGAATCAGGATTTGTGTATACATTCTTAAAGGGTTATATATCCATTTTACAGAACTTACACAGAACATACGACCACAAATTCATGGAGTCACTTTGACTCACAGTTGTTTCCCCCCCCCACCTCCAAAAGACCTAGGCTCAATCCTTGGCATTTCCAATTAAAAAGAAGTCAGGTAGCAGATACTGGGAAAGACCTTTCCCTGCCTTTAACCATGGTAAACCGCTGCTACTCAGAGTGGGCAATGCAATAAGGAACTCAATAGACCAATAATCTGTCTTGATGTAAAGGGACCCCCCCAGTCTTGTTGAATCATTGGGCACTTTGAGACTATGGTGTGTGTGCCACCACAAAATGCAGGTTCTAGAGCCAAACAAGATGTTGTGTAGTTGTAAGCCAAGTGTCCTGCTAGTATGAAGGCAGCTGTTTCTGAATGGATGTTCCCTGTAGACACAAAGGTGAAACCTCTAGTATTTGTTTGAAATACCTCCTGCTCCATTAAGATACAGAAAAGCCTGGATGATGTCTTTTCTTTGGAGGAAAGATTTTTTGTTAGTAAGCAATTGGGCTCCAGGAAACCCACTGATGGGCACCCACTTGTGGGTGCCAGGATGGGGATCACTGGTACAAGACAATGCCATTTGTTAGGTATATAACTGATCAATGTAGTTCAGCAGTAGAGGATGTGCTTTGCATGCATGCAGAAGGTCCCAGATTTGATCCTTGACCTCTCTAGGTAAAGGATCTCAGCAGCTGTAAGGGAAGACCATCCCTTCCTGAAGTCCTGGCCAGTCAGACTAGACAATATTGAGCTAGTCAACCAACACTGACTCAGTGTAAATATTTGTGTACAGGTATAGCTCTATCTGGGAACCTATGCATAAAAATAATTTGATCACCACACAAGAGCTGTAGAAAAGAGACTATTTAATGTATATTTATTGCAACACATGTGGCCTTTCTTCCCCTCCTTTCCCCCCATCCCGCCATGCCTTCTCCTCTCCTGTTCTTTGTTCGCACCATTGTTCTTCACAGCATTTTCAATGCCGCTTTTCATTATTGTTATACCTTGAGAGCAGATGGGTGACACAACCTCTAAAAAGACATGTGTAGTTGATAAAAGAAATAAAGCAGTGACTAATTGGAGATGAGAGGAGAAAAGAGAAGTAAATGTGACTGGGTCTGGGTAATGGTTGATCTTTAATTCAAAATCCATATTTACTTCTATGGTTCCAGTGTACATCTTGCTGGGTTAGGTTAAAATGATTTGGCGTCCTGCTGGGCTTTTCCTGCAGTGCTTTGTAGTCTGCATCAAAGAGGGTGGGGGGGATTATAATGAGGATTGATTTTATTCGAAATAGGTGTATGGTAATAGAGTTTTCTAGAGTAGCCATCCACTAAGCTGGCTGATCTTTCTGTCCTCTTTCTCTTTTGTTGAGCCAAGAAGATTAAAATGTTGCAAGGCAAAGGGGGGGGGACTTCCAGATTCCAAATCTGTTAACAGTTTTTTAAAGAAATTTTTAAAAAATGGTTTAAGTGCCCGAGGCTTACTCATATACAATTACCCATGCCATTTATTTTGATAAAATAACAGAGATGGTGTTATCCCTGACGTGGGTTCAAGGTGCATCACCTGCCAATCTTTAATTGTCACGGTTTTGTCCAAGAAATGTAGCCTTCAAAAACTCAAAAAAATTTTGTCTTTATTTTGGTTTAAAATTGGGTTGGATTCAGATGACTGAGAGGCATGAAATAGCCCAAAAAACTGTAGCACCCGTGGATGACAAGGGGAAGAAAGGGTTGCTAATGGGAGACTGAGACTGCAGAGAAACCAGTCAAATTCCTAGTGTCCGTTTTTAGTGTAGAAAAATGTAGGGTGGTTACTTGTGCCAGTTTTCTGGAAGAGTGTCATGTTGAATGGTGATAAGCGATGAAGTTTGAGGGCCATTGGGCCAGTTAGAAGCCGAAAGATCACTGGATCTGGGTGGCTATAACAGAGGTTTCTTAAAGACTCAGACACAAGCTTGTTGATCTTTCAACAACAGCAACACAAAGTGCAGTCTGTCATTAAAATCCGATTCCCTTCCAGAGGACTGGAAACTGGGGTGAAAGTCAGCTGGTATGGAGTACTGGTAAGAAACTGACTGAACTGGTGCCACCCAACTTCCACTTCACGCCCTTAAGAGAGTACCAGTTAGAAACAGAAGTAACTGTCATGCATGAAAGATTAATAGTTAATATAACAACAATTTGGGAGTGGAGGAATTCAAAGGTGATATTTTTACCCGAATTAATGCATGTGCCCAACCTGTAACACAGAAAGCATCATCTACATGTGCAGGGTTGGACTATATCACTGGAGTAATCATTTAGGGTTGAACAATCTCATGTATCCCTGAGTCCTAATTTATTGCAGCATTCCAGCTAAGAAGCAACATTGGGACAGAGAAAGATAATCTCAAAAAGAAATAATCTTTATTCCCCTAACAAGATGTGTGTGTGTGAATTGCCGTCAGGTCACAGCTGACTTATGACATCCCATTAGGGTTTTCAAGGCAAGTGAGAGGCAGAGGTGGTCTGTCATTGCCTTTCTCTGCAGAGTCTTCCTTGGTGGTCTCCAATCCATGTAGTGACCCTACTTAGCCTCCAAGATCTGATGAGATCAGGCTATACTAGGGACAGGGCTGGCCCAAGGTGTTTCTGCGCCCTAGGCGAGGCGCAGATGCCAACCTCCCGGTGGGGCCTGGACACCTCCCCCTGGTGTTGGGGGGGGGGGGGTGGAGTCGCACCTTTGCTGCCTTCCTCTCGCTCAACCCACGGGAAGGGCTTCCCGGGGGGGATACTGCTGTGCCTGCCTGTGCTGTGCCCCTCCGTGTCCTTTTGGCGGGGGCTGGGGGGGCTTTGGCGGGGGGGCGGGTCCTGTTTGGTGCCCCTAAGGGCCGGCCCGCACTTTAGGCGAATGCCTAGTTCGCCTAGTGGGTGAGCCGGCCCTGACTAGGGAAACTATTCCCCAGCTGGGGGCGGGGGATCCCACACTTTAGCAGGCTCCTGCTCACCACTGGCCACCTGGCCAGTGGGAGGAAATTCCCCCACCACCCAAACAGTAATGCTGTGTTCAATGTGCTGACATCACCTGGAAGTGACATCAGCACATTGGTGATGTCAGGGGGGTGATGCTCTGATTTTGGGGCAAAACTCTATGATTTGAGGTCAGTTTTACTTTAGAGTTTTGCCCAAAAACCAGCACATCACCCCCAACATTGCCAATGTGCTGATGCCACTTCTGAATTGTGCAACATCCCAGCCCACTCTTGGAATACCCCCCAAATCCCCCTGCCCGTGCAATGAAGGGACCTGGTATAGTATAGCCACCCTATACCATTCCACATCCCACCTAACAAAATAGAGGTCTAGAAAGACAAAGTGTAAGGGAAATCAGAGGCATCAAATAATGCTGCAGTTTAGCAGGTTCCCGAACATGGTACTCACACTATTTCCTTAGTGCCCATCAAGGTTTGAGAATTGGGGCTGGATCCAAACCATAGGGTTGGATATCATGGAAAGGTTTTCATCCATCATCTTTAGTCCAGCTGTGCAGTCTTTAGTCCAGCTGTGCAGTCTGTGTAAGCTAATTGTAGGTAATGATACACATGTGATACAGAGCAAGGAGTCAGATACGTGTTGGGGGAAAAAACCTCTCTGAGATTAACATTTCCTTCCCACATGTGTGAGAAGCTGTAAATACCTGCATATATAAAGGGACAGATTTCACACTTGCAAACTGTGTGTTTGCAACTGGTCCTCCTCCTTCCCCCACTCATTATTTTATAAAATGCCAGATTCGTGTTTCTAAATCAGGTTGTGTTCCGTTTGGCTGTGCAGTAGCGGGATCCAATATAAGGCGACATGCTCCTTAATGATACAAAAATATATAGATGAGACTTCTCGGATGATCCATATTCCCATAATGCAGAGAGACACTTCTTTGAAGATGTGCAGCGCACAGGAGTTCTAAATCTGTAACTGGAGGACCACAGTTGTCTGCTTCTCAAGCTCTCCTAATTACTTCACAGATCGTTACCCTCTTGTCAAAGAGGTTTCAGTCAAAAGTACAAGATAAGCTAATATTCTCTGCCCTGATCCCCATGCACGAAGCAGTAAAGTGAGGGAGAAAGCGTGAAGATGCAGCCATTCATCTGGTTCTAATTAATAGCCTTGGTGGACAATTTCAGTGGAGAGGCTATTAAAGGAAATCAGTGGTGTGATGGTCTTCAAGGAAATTAGTGGGATGGTGGCCTTAAAGATACTGAATAAGTAGGGATGTGGTCTATAGTCACTTATAAAACTCAGGTTGCCGTTTGTTGTTTTGACTTCACACAAGTTTCTCTTGAGGACTTCCCCATAGAGGTTATGGTAAATTGCTGCATGTGGCAATTGTTATGCAGTCGATTCTTGATATGCAACAGTTCACCATGTGGTGGGGAAGTTTTTGCCATAGTAACACATCCTGCCATTATTTCATCCTTCCCTTCCTTTGTGATGGAAACCAACAAATGGAAACCAACAAATGTTTTTCCAGTGTAGTCACTGCTCATCCATGCAAGAGATAAGGCCATCTCTCTGTGGCAGTTACAGCACATGGATACGTCCTCCTAGATCCATTTTAGCCCAACTAGGTCCTGGCCAAGAACTGAACAGTAAATTCATTGTGCAGCTGTTGCCTGGTTGCTCCACCACACCTACTAAAGTAGTGGGATGCTCTTCGTGTCACTTGTGAACTTTCCAAACTTGAGCTGAATGACAGTTGTCTGTGATGGTGTTCTACTGCCTGATTGTGGCGAGTCATAGGGTTGACTCCAGACCAGTGTTCCCTCTAAACTGAGTTAGTGTGAGCTAGCTCACCGTTTTTTAGCCACCGGCTCACACATTTTTGTTTTAGCTCAGGAAGCCTGGCTCCCAAGCAAACTAATTGATGCAGTAGCCAAATCGCTCGCTCACAACTTTAATGCCAGCAGCTCACAAAGTAGAATTTTTGCTCACAAGACTCCACAGCTTAGTTGAAGCATTGCTTCAGACTATTTTTCTCCATTAGCAGAATGGAACTTTCCTACCTCCCCACTGCCATTGCAGCCTTGTGATCACCACAGTGGCACATTGACAACACAGGAGGCACCATGCCAGGTGATACTGTGTGTGCATCAGCACCCTTCAGATCCCCCATGACATTTGCCTGGAATAGTTCTGCCTGGCCAGGGCTGCCATCCCCATCCTCCAAAAGGTGCCCATGTCCCTCTGGTACCTCACCATGGGATCGTTCCAGGCAGTCATGGCTTAGGTGCTGCAGGTGTCCCAATCTTCAGTGAGCCATTGCCTCTACAACTGCCTGGATTCCATGCTGCAGCACCTGCCAGGGCATGGAGAAGGATGAGCTGCCCCCTATCCATGCCAGGTTTGCCTCCTGCATGAGGCTCCCAAATGTCATCAGGACCATTGACTTCACCAATATAGCTCTCATAGCCCCTCAGGATGAGCTGCAGATCTACTGCAACTGTCACAATTTCTACAGTGTGAATGTACAGGCCATCTGTGAACACCAAAGCATCTTCAGTGACCTTGTGGCCAAGTTCCCAGACAGTGTGCATGATGCACAGATCTTCACTTTGTCTGGCCTCAGCCACCTACTGGAAACCTTGGGGGCTGGCTACTAGGTGTGTGCCTGTGCTTGAGGGTAGTAGCTGGCACTGGCCACTGGCAGGTGTGGGGGAGCAATGGGTGTTCTTGTGTCTGCCACAGGTGACCAAGGCTACCTCCTGCTCCTGTATCTGTTCATGCCAGATGCAAGAGATGAGCCAGCGAACATTCAACTTACAACTTTCCACCCTGAGCAGACATCTAGGCCATCGGAGGCAGGACCAGACGCTTTCCTCTGCCCGCCTACAACACTGTGCAGTCCCATTTACACTACAGCAATAGAAGGGTCACACGTTGGCATGCCCCATGTCCTATAGGGCTATAAGTGCTAGATGAGTGTGGTCCACAACCCTGACAACATCTGGAAACCTAGCATACAAAGCAAACCCAGCATGAGTTCACTTTATGTGTGGGATTCCCAAATGTCATTTGGGCTGTGGACTGCACCCGTATAGTTCTCATAGCCCTCTAGCGTTGTCAGCTCTAGGTTGGGAAATACCCGGAGGTTTTGGGAGTAGAGCCTGGAGAGAGCAGAGTTGGGGAGCGAAGGGACCTCATTGGAGTATAGTGTCATAGAGTCCACCCTCCAAAGTGGCCATTTTCTCCAGGGGAACTGATCTTGGTCATCTGGTGATCAACTGTAATAGTGGGCGATCTCCAGGTGCCACCTAGAGGTTGGCAAATCTATAGCCCCCCCTAGGGTGAGTCACGGGAAATTTAGTCTGATTCCACTCCATTCTCCTGAATTCTTTGGGGAGATGCACAGCTAAAGGATCTTTTGAAACTAATTATTCACTCTACATACAGTAACTAGACAATGCCAACATTCCAGATCTACCAATTGACCGAGTCTAAACCGTTTTGCAGATTAACTGCAACAGCCACTCAAGTAATTGTTTAATTGAATTACTATATTGGGGGTTTTTTTTAGTTGAAACAACTATTAATATAAACAGAACTATAATACAGTATCCAAGTAACTCTGGCAATAAAACTGGTAAAAACAAACCCCAAACGAAACACACACACCCATGTACACAAATCACCAGCAATACAAATAAAAGTTTATATAATTATCCTCCCTCCTTTGATAGTTGGTAAAAGGATAGCAGTGATAGAATATTTGGGGGGTTTTTTAAGCATTGTTACAATGGAATCTTGCAAGTCCAAAATTCATAAGATGCAATACATGGAACTTTTGCAATAAATTATAATGAACCCTGATAGCATTTGATGAGTGATGCATGGTATTTTTTTTCCAAGGCAGGACAGAAATATGTATTTATGGCTGGACTTTGAACAAATATTGCCCTCCTGAGCCTTAAAAATAAAAACAGCAAACTTTCACTGCTTCTGGGTTCTCTTGGAAAAACAAATGTTAGAAGCACTCTATAAGGCACGGCAATTTTTTATCCCAGCACTTTACTACTAACATTATTTTCATAAGAGTAGCTGCATGTTTTACAAAGCTGGAAGGTTTTGTATATAAGAGTGTGTCATGTACACAAGATCTCAAGTCTATATGCAATTAATTTCAGAATATTGTTCACACTGTCAGACATATTTCCCATTTTTCTATGTCTTTTATGGTATTATATATAATTTTATGTCATTGTTAATACAACTGACACAAAAGATGCCAATTTTAATAGCAATATTTCTGTTGAGTCTTATTAATGCTATTAGAAATGACTGCAGTTTCCACCCAAATGTGGAAAAAAATGTAAAAAAGAAATGCACCCTTTCAGATGGATCCAAAGTTGACATGAAATGAGGTAACTTTCCTAGTTCTGGATTCATGGTCACTGATCCAAACTGGGATTTCCTCTGTCCACATAAGTATGCACTGAAAAGTTGAAAAGGCCTTGGTTGTTCAGCTGGATGGCAAAAGGTTTTGAACAGATGTGTACAGAAATTGGTCCCATTAAACGTAGTGAGTATTTATTCTAGGCAAACATCTAGAAAGCAGCTGTTAATGTATTTTGTCAGGACACACAAAAATGCATTGTGAAATTGTGTCCAGTTCAATGTGAGGTTGCCAGCTCTGGAGATTTTGGGGGTGGAGCCTGAGGAGGATGGGATTTGGAGACTTCAATGAGTGTACTGCCATAGAGTCCACCTTCCAAAGCAGCTATTTTCTCTAGGTGAATAGATCTCTGTCACCTGGAGATCTGTTGTAGACCCAGGAGATTCCCCCACCACCATCTGGAGGTTGGAAACATGTCCTTACTTCCTTCTCCTTTTCCAGAACAAAGTCCACAGGGGAGCTACCATCCAGGAATGGGAAGGGGATACCTGTAACATTGATCGTTAACTAACTACAGAGATTAATGGCCAATCAAAGAGAGAAGTGAAGAATATTCAGTATTACTCCAGCATCAGAAACATGGACCAAGAACTGTAGAAGTGGGAAGCAAGACTGACAGTACAATCCAAAGTACAGTTACTTCTAAGTAACTTTTAATGGACTCCCTTCTAAGGCCATTGATATCAGTGGACTTGGAAGGGTGTAACTGTGTTTAGGATTGCACTGTAGGGGTCAGATTAAATCAGATGGAAAGATATCTGATCTCCAGTTTGGTTTTCTTTTAATAAGTAATAGCATCCCCTATGGGGACCACTTCATATCAGAGCCATAATACTGATGGAGAAAAATTACTAGGCATTGTACAAGTCACATCAAAATAGAGACCCTGCTTGATGATCTCTCACTCCATTGCAAACAGAAATGGAGCTATTAAAATCCCTTAAAATTGAAGGAGAAGGCCAAAATGGTATATTAGTAAAAATGAATGAGACTTAAAAGTTCAAGATAAAATGGACATTTGGGAGCGTTGATGTGTTTCTTGCATGGGGCTGACACATGGAGTATCAGTTTGCAATCAGTACCTGTTTTCAAGGTAACATTTTGGGGACCAACAATGGAGAATGCACTGCCATTGGATAGTCATAGGATCGTAAGAGAAGCCATGCTGGATCAGGCCAGTGGCCCATCCTGTCCAACACTCTGTGTCACACAATGGCCAAAACTCCACCAGGAGGTCCACCAGCGTGTCTAGAACTCCAGAAGCCCTTATCAGATCTCAGAAGACAAACAGAGTCAGGCATTTAATACTTAGATGGGAGGTCACCAAGGAAGATCAGGGTTGCTATGCAGAGGAAGGCAACGTCAAGCAATCTCTGCTTATCTTTTGACTTGAAAACCCCATAAGGTTCCCTTGCTCCCCTGAAGTGAAGACTGTAGTTGAACTGCATAATATTGACCATATTTTCCCATGAATATACAACTATGTTTTTATGTTAAAAACCAGCTGGCCAGTTTCTATTAATAGATCAAAGAAAAAGGGAGACAAAAACAGAATGAGAATGAAAGAGAAGAAAGCGTTAAAGCTCTGCCATGGGTGGAATGTGGAATAGGATGGCATAGTCCCATCTCATCAGATCTTGGACGTTAAGCAGGGTCAGTAGTTGTATGGGAGACTACCAAGGAAGACAAGGGCTGCTATGCAGAGGAAGGCAATGGCAACCACCTCTGCTCATTGCTTTCCTTGAAAACCCCATAATGCGGAAAGTCATGGGGTTGCCATGAGTCGGCTGTGACACTTTCCCTTATTTTTAAACAAACGTATAACAAAATGTGACATCAGAACGTGATTCTCTCTTCAATGCAGTGAGAAGATACCTGTTTTAAAATGTAGCTCAGCAGTGTCACATTTGAATTATTGTATTAATTACAAACCCTATTCACCCGCTGATGCTGTTACTTACTGCGTTCTGCACAATTTAAAAGATTTATCAATGATCCACATATTTATTTATTTTTTCTTTCACACTTGAAAACACATAGCAAAGAATAAATTATAGATTAAACTCATCTTCTGTTTTGTGGCCAATACATATGTTATTTTTATGCAGTAAACACAGAAGGAAACACCAGACATAATAATGTGTGGTTATGAATATGGAAAACAATGGGGAGTGGGGAGCTTCAAGAAACAGATTGTATTTTAACAGCCATCATACATTAGGGACAGGTTGAAAATGTTCCCTTTTTGACCTTCTGTGTGCTACACCAGCCAGTTTGGTGTAGTGGTTAAGTGTGCGGACTCTAATCTGGGAGAACGGGGTTTCATTCCCCACTCCTCCACTTGCATCTGCTGATGTGACCTTGGGTCAGTCACAAGCTCTGGCACAGCTGTCCTTGAAAAAGGGCAGTTTGTGTCAGAGTTCTCTCAGCCCCACCCACCTCACAGGGTGTCTGTTGTGGGGAGGGGAAGGGAAAGGAGTTTGTAAGCCGC